GTCTTAACAGTTATGTAGTTAGCTATAAAAAAAATACATTTTAATTTAGCCCTAAAGAGACTATTAAATCTTTTATTGTTTGTCATCCTCCCTTAGCTCAGGCACAGACACCTCTCTCTCCCCAGTGCCTTTCTCCATCCTACTGATGTCCTCCTGTGATCTCCCATTGTTAAGGGCTGGTTATCCTCCTGCAGCAGTGTGTCACAGTGAGCTTAAGTCAGTTAATTTTGATGTATTCTCAATATTGAAGCGTGGTCTGTGCTGTTATTCCACGCCACACGCAAGAGGGACAATCAGGAACTAGCTGTGGGTCTAGATACGGCTAAGACGGTGAGGAAGTGGGGGCAAGTTTGTCCGACGACGGAGGGACATGAGGGCGAAAAAGTGCGGGGATCCAGGTGGAAAAAGTGTCCCAGTGTTCTCGCGCACCTCGCTCTTCCAGCTGGTCCAACTTCATGAGTCGTTTTCCACAATAGCGGTCATACAAACAAAACAAGCCGGTAATGAACCAAACAGGAAATATGCATGGTGTAGAGCAGATGTAGATTTGACCAATCAAAAGGCCTCCTGTCTGCGGTCACCTACAGTTTTGGAGAGGTACAGCAGAGTGTCTGCAGAAGGGGCGGGGCATATCTGCTTTCACTGCGACACACGCAGACGACCTGGTTTCTGAGTATAAACCAGCCTTCAGCCTCCAGAGCTCCAGAGAAAGCTGCTTCCAAACCCCTGTTCTGCTGTTCTCTGCCCAATGAAATAGTCGCATCTCCTGCTGTGATTCCTCAGATTCAGAGAGGGACAAAGCTGGTTGTCTCTTCCTAGTTTAGGTGCTCTCTCTCCCACGGTTTTTCCCTGCTCCTCCTGTCTGAGTCGTGTCTCACTTTACCTGAAAGCGGCTGATCCATCCGTTGCTCCTGGACTCACAGAACTGGGAGCGTCCCTGGAGGATCTGCCAAACCCAGGAAGGCCGACGCCTTTGTTCGGCTCGCCAAAGCAAATAAAGCACCGCGAATCGCTGCGTCCGCCATGTTGAGGTGAAACCAACAACTAGCAGATTTGATGACATACTGAAGCCTTTTCACTCGCCAAGTTTCTGGCAGGGTTTGCAGTCGATGTGAACGTTACATTAGTCTGTTTGTTACGGGAAAATCTATGAGCATCAAGGCTCTGAGCTCCACCTTTTCTCTGCTCTTTAAGCGTTCATGTAAAGAGCTGCTAAATAAGAAAACTGCTGCGAAAATCCTCTTGCATTTTGACTCAACATCTCAGCCACTGAATGCATTTTCAGTAGACCAGCTACAAGATGGGAGGATTTGCACCTATATCGACTATTGACCATCCATGTTAAAATAAATCTGATTTTCTAGGAAGAAAATGTAAGCTGCTCAATCCTTTAAACATGGCCAAAAAAAGCCTTTCTGTAAGGAGTGTGGATCTTTCCCTTTATTGGATCTGTGTAGGAAACCCTGGTCCTCTTTACAGTCCAGGAACTCCTATGTTACCCTAAATGCACCAGGGAGCGTCATCACAGATCCTTCCTCCCAGCAGCTGGAAGACTTTATAACCACCACTGTTCCCAAGAAACTCAAAAATATTGTTACATTCATGCTGATTTTGGACAGTTTTTACCTTAGTGAGTTAAATAACCTGCTGCTGTCATTCTGCACATCTCTGATGTTGCTGCTATTTTCAAATATCCATTATTGTAAAAATGTCCATAGCTGTTTATTGGTTATTTATTCTCCAGGCGCTCAGTTTTATATTGTTAAAACACTTTAAAGTACAGTATTTTATTGTTTATCTTTTATCTCTTCACTATTATGTTATTCTTATACATTTTTCTAAGGTTCAAATTTGTGTGACCATTCTATCTATAATCTTTTTGCTGCTGTAAACACCAGAATTTCTCTCCGTTGCGGGACGATAAAAGGATTTTCTATTATATTCTATATTTTACAGCGTTTAATTGTTATGCTTGCAGACCAAAAAAAATAAAGAAAGAAATAGATTACCATCATTTAAATTTATTTATTTAATTGTACCATAAGAAATGTTTAGCATCCTCCCATCATAAAACTCTCCACCAGAGCCTTTTCCAGGGGCAGATAATCTGATTTGGCCATTGCATCCTATTCCAAGTGGAAATAAAAGGGCTGGAAGAAAAGAAAGAAAATCAGTGGTTCCTAGAAAAGGTTTCTGCAGTGGAAACACCTTAAGAAAACCAAATCTCCAGGATTTGGCAAAGCTACCCAGTATTTATCAGCTCTCCAAGGCGGATGGAGAGCCTGCTGTTTTCCAGCAGGAGGAGGCTGTGGAGAGCTTAGGATCAGCCTGGAAGGCTGCATGACTCAGTGTCTCATATTTTCCTGCTGACCTGCCTCCAGGCCAGCGCTCTGGGAGCTGGGAGACAGCGCCTGTGGGCTGCAAGGAGGTGGAAGCCGCTCATAAAGAAGCGTTTTGTTTTTCCTCCTCTCACGGTAGCAGCACCCTGCTGGGGAATTCATTAGCGACTGACATCATCTCACTCTGTGCGAAGTGAAAGAATATCTTTCTACCCCAGCTCTCCCCTCCCACCGCCCACCCTCTCTCCCTCTCTCTCTCTCTCTGCCTCCTTATGTACCTTTGGAGCGCCGCTGCGCCTCCTTTTGCGCGCCATATACGCAAAAGATCTCCGTGCGCCTTCAGCCGAAGCTTTTCGGAAGCCCCCGACACACGAGTGTGTTTATCCTGTGAAGGAGTGCTGCTGAGGCTGGATCCTGGAATCAGGAAGTGGGAGGAACCGGCCAGTCTCTGGATGAATGGGAGTTTTTTTTTTTTGGAAGCGGATGGGAAGAGGCTGCTGCGCGCCCCTGATCGGGAAGGTTTTTTTTAGACACAACACCCAAACCTGAGCGGGTGTGTGAGTTTGTCCCTCCCCGCTTTGCCTTGATGTTTCTGCGCTGAAGGAAACGCGCTGCGCGCTTTGTTGGATCGCTTTGCGCTCCGAACCTCCCGGATCCTGATTGCTACCTTCTTCACGGATACTTCAGACAGGAGAATAAACGGGAACACGCACCCTGAACCCCTCCGCTTAAAGGGAAAAATAAAAGGGATTTGTTTTTTGTTTTGTTTTTTTGAATTGTGGCAGAAGCTGTGCGGAGACGCATGGCTCCCTTTGTCCAAAAGGCGCAGTAGCTGCAAGCGGCTCTGGATTCGGTTTCCCTGGAAAGGCTTCTTGTCTCTGCATGGCTGTGCTCCGTTTTAAGGGAATAGACTTCACCGCCTCCTCTGTGGATTATACTCTTTAAAAAAATTTATAAAAGCAGAATGTGAAAGGAGACTATCTGTTCAAATCCAGTAAAATCTCACTTTTCTGCTTTTTGTTGTTGATAATCTCACCAAATCAAAGGTATGAGCGCATTATTTCCAGGATATGAACCTTTTAACTCGATGTATTGTATAGTTTATATTAGATGCATATATATAATTGTGCATAAAGCATAACTGAGCTTTTTTTCTTGTCTATTTGAAAGTATATTTTTGCGGCAACTGAGCAGCAGCGCGGTGCGCATCCAGCTGTCAGGACGCGGCGGTTCGCTGCGCTCAGATCGGGTGTCTTTGACATTTCCACCTTAAATCTGAGGGGAAATTTTCCTCCAAGACATTTGTTAGAAAAGCATCGAATTAAAGCAAAGCAGCTTTTCTCTCAGGTGAAGCTTTATAGGTTTGTCTCCAAATATCTGGAACTTTTTCCATTCACTATTTTTTAGTGTAAAAAACGATGCTACGCTCTGCTTTCCCAAAACAAACCAAGCTTTTGTTGTTTAATTCTGGTTTAAATCCCGTTTCCCTGCTGCTGCTGCTGCTGCTGCTGCTGCTGCTGCTGCTGCTGCTGCTGCTCAGCCAGGGAAGCTTTACGCAGATCAGCGTGTTTTGTCACGGAACAACAGTGCCACCAAGTGGTGAAAATCGGAAGGACAGTCTGTTTTGTTTTAGAGCATCTTCTGCTCCTGCTTAGATTGAAACCCATTAAAAATGAAGCACATCTTGTGGAATTAAGTCATTTAATTTGCTTTAAACTCCTCTAACTCTTTATTTTAAACAAGTTTAGGCTGAATCTAATTTCACACCCTTAATCACACATTTTTAAACCTTTTTTTTGTTTATTTGGTTGCAGAGAGCTTCATTTGTAAATACACACAGATTTAAGTGCACTGAAAAAAGTAATGCAGCTTTTTTTTGCCTTTTACTTAATCATATTTAGTTATTTTAACACAATTTTTCATGTAAGTAGGGTAGGACATAAAGCAATTGTGTTAAAGTAAACTAATATGATTGAGTAACTGCCAAAAGCAGTTGCATTATTTTTTTCAGTGTGTGTTCTCAGTTTACATGCTTTAACATCAGGATAACCACTTAATATTTGCTGTAAGCGACTGCTATATGTCATATTTTGTAACACTGTTAAACAGAAGAAAAGATAAGTAGACTTTTGCAATTAAAGATACAAATATAACAAAAAAACATATGAAGTCTAGTTTGATAGACACAATTTTTTTTGCTTCTTCAGTTCTTCTCAGTAAACAGAAAAATTAATAAAAACTGTCGAAAATATGCCGTTATTAGAACACAAATATTCAAATAAATCATCTTAAATTTGATGTTTTCTGATTAAACTCACCAGAAATAAGAATAATATTTTAAACACAGTGAAAGAGTGAATTGTTTGACATTATATCACTTTTAAAAGTATATTTCTGTTCTTTATTAATACAATACATTTGCTGCTCCTGTTTATGTGACACGTATGGGCATATTAAGTTAGCGATGTTTGATATGGGAAGAACGGATCTGATGGTGGATTTCTTGAGCTAGAGTATCTCTTCTCTGTGTATTATTTAACGGTTATCTGTATTAGGGGTCCAGAGATAACCTTAGAAAATGGGATTCAGACTTGTTTGGAAAAGGGTTCTATAAATCTCTTGTCTTTTTTTGCTAATTTCCTTTCTGTTTGTTTTTTTCAGGTTTCCGATGCCAGTTCAGAGAAATTTTTCCGCACAGCAGCAGTTAAAGGTACAGATTTTTTTCCCCTTCTTCTTCAATGAATGTGTCTGTGAAGGTGCAGCTCTATTCCTGCTGATTTTCCTGAAGGTTTTATAGGTTCCTAAGACGACTGAAACATTCTTCTAAATCAGACGATACAATTCAATAAATGCTGTTTTTCTCCTGTCAAATATATGCATCCAATTTTAGAATTTCCATCATTTTAAGTCTTTAAATGCATTTGCCAACATCATGCTGTTTTGTCTGCTGCATGAATGGAGAGAATCTACTCATTCTTTTATTTCAAATGACAACCCTCCATCAATCTAATGCTTTTTTATTTTATTTTATACGTTTGATCCCTTTGAAATTGGTCAAGACGCACTGATCTCTGCTTCATAGGGCTGCATTGTCATTCTAAACAGATGTCACACTTATAATCCATTTAACCCTGGAAGAGCAAAGCTGAGAAGCAGCTTGACATTTTTGACACATGCGTCTGACGTTTATCATCCATAAAAAGTTGGAGCTGTAAGCGCTCCGAGGCTTGCCAGCACGACGCCGTGTATGAAACATTAGCGGCTTCTGTGACCTTTTCCGCGGCGGACAGCAGGGCGAGCAGGAAGAGGAGGATTTTCTGATCCTGCAGGGAGCAGGGCGAGGGCTGGAAAAGCATATGTTTACGGTCTCAGTGTGCCAGCACCACATGTGACCTCATTATCGAGTCACTAATTTGCTGTTAAAAGCAGCCCTATTTTCTCTGGCTTCGGGGATAATGGAGGATCCCTGCCTGAATGGACATTCCTGCGTGCAGGGCGGGAGGGGACACTCTAAAAACCGGGGTTATGACCTCGTCATGCCTGCAGTTGAAAGAGGGGGCAGACTGCCGACCCCCATGAAAGTTGGTTTCCCTTCGCCGCTTGATTCTGGCTGTGCAACGAGCAGCTCAATAACCTTAACGGGGAGGTTTCCCTTTGAACGTGCTCCTCTGTGGACGGATTTGGATCCCCTGAAAGGATTAAGGCCTCTTTTGTGCAGCCTAAACCAACAGAGGGCCACCCTCTCTTCCCCCTCAATCGGGGAAACAGTTCACAAAATCTGCAGCCTCTCTGCTCCCTGATAGACCAGTCTCTTGGCCCCTATTTGCATTTAAATATCCCTCCTTTTCTTCCTTTCCAGCGCCGCCATCTCCTCCTCCTGCCATATGCTAATGCATGTTGCCATTGCAGGAGGCGAGTCAAAGAATCCAGGTGCACGGGGAGCAAAGAGCTCTGGTATTTTTATGGAGGCCGGTGTTAGGATTAAAAGAGTCGGGGAGGTTTTTGTTGGAAGGGATTACCAGCGCTCTAATGCAACCCAAACTTCGGATAAGCAGCAGCTCCAGCAGAATAGCGACAGAGAACTCGTTTGCGGGGTTCTCACTGTCAATATTTGCCTAAAGGCAGGTGCAAAAAAAGTCCCTGTTTGTTTGCAGGATCAAACTGGATTCTTTTGTGCAGAAAGAAATTTAAATCTCTCTAATCCTTCGCCTGAGAAAGTAAATAAGAGGAAAAAACAAAGCAGTATTATAATAATTGACCTGATTAGTGATGTGGTGATGATGTCAGCGCTGCAGATCGGGTTAGTTAGAGAAGTTAAGTCTAAGATTTAAATGAAAACCTTTCATTTCTGGGAAACAAACCAAAAAGGAAAAATGGATTTAAGATGCAAAACTAGCATCACGGTGAAACCATGGTGATTTGGACCACATCGCATAACGTAATGTGAGTTTTAGAGTCACAACGAGGTTGTTTTCATCATCCTACTTTCTCAGCTTTTCCATGTTTGGTCCATTTCTTGATAGAAGAACCAAACCTGCTCCAGGACTTATTGGTTTATTCATACCTGATTAAAAAGTGACTATTTAAAGCTGTTTTTCATGATTTTCTTAAACTTTAATTGAAGCAATCTCTCATTATAACAACATGGAAATGATATCCATTTAAGATATTTGATTTGTCTGATGTAAAGATAGTAATCTTATCATTTTATTAAATAAAAACTTATTTGGTGGATCGATTAGGTTTATCGTGGCCATTTTGGTATTTTGAGTTTTGAGCTGATGTCATTTTTTTCTATTAATTTGTTTCCCTTCATCCATTCAAAATAAAAAAAAGAAATTCAATATGTTCTCTGAGAGAAAAACAGAGAATGAAGGGATTACAAGATTATCCTCATTTATGGATCAAAGTCTCTAACCTTTATCTGCTTCACATTAAAGCTGAACAGAGTGCATCAAACTGCAGGCTGAGTGGATTCAGTTATACTCAGAAAAACACTGAGGGGGTTTAATGAATAAAGCAGTGCAAAAAGTATTTTCCCTTGATTTGAACAAGCAAAGGAGACAATTTTCCATTAGAATATGATGGTTTATCTTTAAAATAAGAAAAAAACCACTTGATTATCTTATTTTAAAGGGAAAATACTCTTTCTATTGCCTGAAGCTCAGAGCAAATTGAAAATTGTTGTTCAGGTTTGTGACCTGCTGCTCATACATTCGATCTGATGGACTGGCAGATGTTCTGCTTCTGATTGCTGCTATCTTTGTAATGTTAGGGGTCAGAATCTGTCATATTTCAATAGATCAACTCGTCCTAACACTGATCAGAACAACAAGCAGTGATAACAGGACCCATATATAACGATAAAATTGGCTTAAAATCAAATTTTATCACTGTTCTCTTGTCTTCTGGAAGTATGTGGAGTTTATTCCCCCCTGCAGGAGGTTGCTACAGCGTTTTTGATTGATCAGGGGCACCAATGCTTTCACATCCCATGTTTTCCTCACATCTGGTGCCGTTTAAGGTGGAGCTTAAAGTCTTTAATGGCTTCAGTGTTTTTCACTTCAGCTCCTCTTCGCCCAGGAATGGATTTCATTAGCTCCGAGTCATTAAATGTTATCTCTAATTACCACGGTTGTCGATGCACCTGCAGGTGTCAGCTAGCTAACCTGATTTATTTACTCTGCCCGAGAGCAAGCAGCAGTCTGAGAGTCTATCGGCCGCTGGAGAAATAAACAGCTACTCTGAAGTCTGGGACGTTCCCAAGCCGCCGAGGGCGCAAATTCAGAAAGAGAAGCTTGTTAGAGAAAAGACCAGGGAGACAAAGCAGATACGTATGTCGCCTCCAAGGTCTGCGGACGCATTTGTCAGGTGATTAAAAGCTGTGTCCCAGGATCCCGTCTGCCGGATGAACGTTGGACCGAGATGCCAGGATGAAACTCTAAACTTTGTCCAGTGGGATTTATTTTCATTTGTGAAGATTTTCTCATCAGTGAGCTGCACTCTGGCTGATCGCATAGATTATTTTAGAATGTATAATTTATGATCCACTGATTGGAAAAGGAACCCTGGAAAAAATATATTCATCTTGGAATATTTCGGTCCAGATGAAGTGCGGTCGTTTCTTTTCTGTGGGAACATGAGAAATTGCACCGATTGATCAATCAGCAGGTCCAAAGGCTGAAACTCTGATTATTTCTTTATTTCTATTTGAAGCGCCATAAAAAGAAATCCCTGCAGCTCTTTTTTATGTCAAACATAGAATGTCTGTGGGGAACATAACTAGTGTTGCACGAATCCCAGTTTGGGGCAGGGCCCTGATCCAGCAGTACAATGGTGGTATTAGTATCGGTGAGTACCAACAAATAGGACACCAATACCATTTAGAGAGCCAAAGGTTTATTCAACTATAGTCACTCGTTCCAGGTAGGAAACAAAAAGTTCTACTGGATTCACTTTGTCCTTTTCCTGCTTCACAAAGAAGGCAGCAGCTTAGCAAAGCCATGATGGCAATTATTTTGCATCCAAGTAGGATGCAGTTCTTCATCAAACAGATGGTATCGGTATCAGCCAATACAACACAGGTATCGGGTATCGGGGCTATAAAAATGGTATCGGTGCAACACTAGTTAAAGCTCAGCATATCTGCCTGATTTCAGGTAAATGTTGACAACTTCCAGTGTAACCAGCGGTTGTACTGAGATGCTCTGGAAAGAGCCATAAGGGAGCCCAGATGTCAGTCAATGGGACGATACGCTCCTAATAAATCTGACCATAGCAACGCTGGGATATGCTGTAAGAACCCTGTGAAATAACAGATCCTATACAAGTCTCTTTTTAAACAAACAAAATAAACTTTTAGTAATAAATCCAACAAAACTTTAACGATGGAGAGAAAATGGAGGGAAGCATGTCTTTATGGACCGATACGGGAAGAGAACACGATGCATCGGTCGATCTCCAGTCTGCAGGTCAGATTTGGATGAAAACCAGAAACGTTTGTGATTCAGGAAAGTTTCTGATTGGTGACTATTAAATAATTTTGTATCATGAAAATATTCAGATCTTTTAAAAGTATTGTGTAGGATTTTCCCGAATTTTTTTAAAAGACCCGCCCTATCCAAAAATGCGCATTTCAGAGTGAATACCAGCCCATTTCTCCTCATGCTCGCTCTGTTTAATAGATGCTGTTTCGCATAGATCAGGCATCCCCAAACTCGGTCCTCGAGGTCCGCTGTCCAGCAGGTTTTAGAGGTTTCCTTGCTCCAGCACAGCTGATTTTAATTGAAAGCTGATTAACAGGCTTTTGGTCTACTGCAATCAGGGAAACCTCTAAAACCTGCAGGACAGGGGGCCTCGAGGACCGAGTTTGGGGATGCCTGGCATAGATCATTCAAGCTTACTGTGTCCGAACGTCCGCCCTAACCCCTAAATCCCTCAATCACTTTACAGAGCGTTCTGGGATATATCTGCCTCTTCTGAGGCCTTTCTTTTCTTCTTAAACACTTCGTATCGAAAATGGCCGATGGTTGATGGTTGGAGAGGTGAGCTTCAATGACTGTCTGAAACCGTAGCTCTCCACAGATGCACGCCTGAAAGTGTGGAGGCGCTGAAAAATATAGCTAACTGGACGAGTATGTGGGACGGCCTTACGTAAACATATCACCAGAATGATTGACAGTTAGGAGGACCGCTTATTTAGATGATCCA